ATCCCTTAGCATATTGTTCTCCCATCTTCTGACCAGTGAGTTCCTTGTAATAAATTCCCTTCTTTACCATCACCTTCCTCTCAGCTAATTGGTTTCAGTTGCTTGAGGAGTATACTGAGCCTCCATGTGATATCAGGAGTAACAGAGAAAGAATTTAAAATCCTTATATTCTTCAACAAGGGCTGTTTTAAATATACTTTTTAAAAAGGCAAGGCTGAGAGGTTAAGTGGGTTACTTACTTAGGACTACAAAGTTCTGTTTGAGCTAGATCTCCATGTCATATATACTGAATCTTAGTCCAGTATACATCCAACTAAATTACTTTGCCCATTTTTAAATTTTACCCCTATTTTCTAAACTTTAATAGAACGAATACTTTCTTTAAATTTTATACTTCATTTGACTTGTGATCCTGGACAAGCATTGTAAAAACAAGCTAACCTACCATTCAAAGGATAGCATTTTGAAGAATTATATTTTGTCCCAAATTTAGCATGAGCCAGGGGTATGATACTTTGAAACACTTAATTCTATGAAAGTTTCAATAGTGGAATTGAGATTAAAACTTTTAAAAGTACCTTCTAATTCTGGATTTAGAATTGTAAAATTTTTTGCTTTAGAGAATGTGAAAAAGCTTAGATATCTTAATTATAAAAAGAAAACATACAGGATTTGATGTCAGAATGGTCTGAATCCTAAGGTTCTACTCTGAAGTTAATGCTTTTCTACTGTGGGGTTCATTGTGTTTAAACATCCCATTTTTTAAGGCATTCATCTGCTGATGGACATATAGGCTTCTTCCAAGATTTATCTACTATGAAAAAAGCTGCTATAAACATGGGCATGCAGGAATCACTGTAATACCATGTCTTTAACTCTTTTGAGAAGACATCTAGAAAGCAATAGTTGTGTCAAATGGAATTGCTAGTTTTAGCTTTTAAATCTTCACATTGATTTCCATGGTTTTTGTAATAGTTTACACTCCCACCAACAATACAAAATGGTTCCTTTTTTCCTGTAGCTTCAACATTTGTTATTATTCGGTTTCTACAGATTTTAGTCATTTGTAGGAAAGTAGATGTACCTTGAAAACATAATGTTGTGAAATAAATCAGATTCGCAAGCTTAAATACGAATAAACCCAAATTATAAGTAAAGAGCAAAATAAAATATGAATAAAAGGAAGTAGAGAGACAAATCATTCTCAAATGGTAAGAGGATCAAGAGATGGAAGATAGGAGAATGGGAGGGAAAGGGGGTGAAAACAGATGGATTATGAACATGCAACAAATTCACATAATGTGAATATGTCCTTATTAAAAACAATGCTTTTGTAACATTTTTGTCTTTAAGTGAAAGCAATCAATGAATCTTTTATTATATTCAAATTGGAAACATACATCAAAAAGTTGTCTGTATATATTTTTCAGTTCATAATCTGAAAAATTCATAAATTCATAATCTGGAACTTTGAAACTTTTCTTAGTGGTTATTTTCTCCTAAAGCTTTCCCAAGGTCATGGTTTTCCCAAAGCGATTATTTCCCAACCCAATCATTCCATTTCTGATTACTAATTTCTTCTCTAGAACTCTTTGGAACTTGCATTCGAGTATTCTATCACTAGGTTTACGTAGATCATCTTAAGATATAAATTAGTAAATTTGGAAAATTATATTCCACTAAATCTACAGCTTTCTAAGTAATTGAAGTGGTGGTAGTAGACACTTTGGTTGTACTAACAAAATTTTGGTTGTGCTAATAAAACTTTTCTGCCTAGGAATAAAATATAAGATACTGCTCAAGAAATGTCTAGGGCTGGTGCCTCAAACAAAGGAACTGTATCTCTTCCGTGACCCTAACATCAACTCCAGAGAAGCTCAACGTGCTTTGGTTTTTGTGTTTCCAGGGTTATATACATATATAATTAGAACACAGAATGCAAAATATGCCAAAGTATACACTTATTATTACATTTGAAGTTAAAGTCTTTTAAAATATTAATCTGTTAATTGTTTATCATTTAGGTCTTTTACATCATAAGACTCATTAAGGAATGACTTTTCTATTTTCTCCTTCCTTCATGTGTCCAAAAAAAAAAAAAAAAATCTAATATGAAGTCAGTCGACTCAAGAGTTTCTTAATTTCTGGTCCAACATCAATTAAATTAGCTCATATTTAAATTATCAAATTTTGAATTCTGCAATTGGATCATTTCCTCAGTGTACATATGGATTCTTTGCATAATCTTAAGGCCACCAAAACACATTAAAGAAATGCCAAAGGAAGATGTTTCTCACTTGTTCATCCAAGAAATATTCACAGAAGTACAAGAAATTTTATTTTCCTTTAGGAGGTGCTATCACCTGAAATTACAGAAGTCATCGTACAATCCAAGCCTGACTTGCTCTCTAACACACAGGATGTATGTTGTTTAAATTTACGTATCTTAAAAGACATTCACCATCCTTTCCCACTAGTTCACCAAAGAAGTGATTTACTGGCCTATGAGATTTAATAATATATTTCAAACACCTCTTTAAAAAAAAAAAAAAAACCTATTAACTTCATTCTATAGAAAACCTAAAAGTATTCTTAAAAGTGCTTCTTCTGACACTTAGAACTATATCTCTTTTTAAAGTAATACATAAACTGCAAGTTTGCCTCCATTTTCTCATAATAAACCTAATTTTCTTCTTAGGCCCACTGATTCCTACTGTGAAATATTATTAACTGCAAGGTAGGGCAGGCACTTTCCGAGACAGGTTCCTACACTTAGTGAAGAAAAGCAGCAGCCCCTTCAGAAGACTGTTAACATGCCTTCAAAGTTGTTTTCTTTTTTATTTCAGCCACGGCTCACTGCAGAAACTTACAAAGAATCAACCAATAGCAAGGCACTCTGACTTTCTTCTGATGAGGAGGAAAAACTTTGCTCATGGTAACACAAAATCCTTACAAGAAGTGTTTCAGTCCACCACTGATTTTTGAGTATATATGATTACGACCTCAAACTGCACATGCTAGCGGATATGCCTGCCTCTGCCTGTGATGGAGTTCTCTGTGTAAAGATGTCTGAATTTCCCCCATGAGGGCTCCTTGCATTCTCTGGGGAGAACACTACTTTGCAAATGAGTTCTAGCGTTCTCTTAACTTGCTACAAGCAATACACCACTATCTCCTGTTTGTGTTTATTGACCCCACACTCATCTAGAGGAAAACCTATTGTATTCAGTCACAATATTGTTTTTTGTCCTGGAAAAAGGTAACTTCATATGAGGAGACATTAAAATGTCTGTAAGGAAGTTTGAAGATGTGTACTAAACCAGTGTCTGGATAAAGATGGAGGCTATTTTTACATGAACAGAGTAATTTCGTTGTTTTTTCTTATATGGGAATTTTAAATATCCATCCCAGTGTATCTGCTCATGCCAAGTAGAAATCAACAGCAGGAGACTTATTATGAAGACCTAAAACTGAAATTCATTTTTGTTTCTGATCCTTCCAGAATCTAACAAAACTACTGTCTAACGTCTTTATATGAAATTTTCTTTAGTAAATATTAAATTTATTTTAAAATTTTGAATATGAGTAAACTGATTGTAACTTTTTGGAAATCTCGCTTTGGGCATTTCATATCTATTTTCCCAAAAGATCAGTGTCCCCTTTTTCCCTATTCATACCAATATAAAGAGATAGCTCTTAGATACTCTAATAATCACATTACCAACCACAGGAAAAGAAATATTCCCAATTAATATGGAGGTGATCAGTTCTTTTACCAAATATATTTCATTCTTAGAAATACTCTGTGCACAAATGACAGGGAAATCACCAAAGTAAAAGTATTCCTTGCACTGTTTAATCAGAAAATTATACTAAAGTTTTATAGAAATTCTAGACACTGGAACTTATTGCTCTTGAATGACATTTTAAAAATCAGTGCAAATGAAGTATAGAGACTCTATAAGTGATTTTTGTAAACTACAAATGTATTCAAATCTGTTACTGTTTTTCTCTCAAGCACTGCTTGACACCTCACTTTCGGGTCTTTTATTTCTTTTCATTTGCTGCTCCCTGGAACCCTAATACTTATTCTTGAAAACAAGAATTAACAGACCTGGAAGTAGAGAAAGTTTATTTCCTACATAGCTAATGACACATGTGGAATAGACAGAAGTTACGCTAAAGACACAAGAGTATCAGTGTCTGACAGTCTACCTCAAATTGCCTTTTAGCAGAACACAACAGTACTTAGGTGTTTTCACCCAGTTTTCTTTCCTTCATTCAATCCCTTTCTTAAAGAGCTTTGAAATGAATTCCCAGCACCCGCTCTTTCAAGCAGCGCAACCTACATGAACAGCCACTAAATTTCACTCCAAAATGAAGCCTAAACATAAGTTAAGGATTATAATCTATGGTGAGTATAAAACACTGTTTTTTTCATGAAGAGTAAAACACCAGTGAACAGACATCACACAAGTCATACACATCTGTGCACCACCAATGAATGCAGAGTAACTGATCCTCCAAGGAGCTAATTCATGCTTTGTATTTGGTGTCACAGCTTTCTGCTCCCTGAAATCTCCGCTGCTTTGTTAAGAAAGTTACTTTCAAACACATTAGCTTCATGGGCAGTAAGGAACACTAGTAAGCACTGACTGTTCCACTGTCTGAAAATAGATAGCAGCAACAGGACATCCAGTTTGGACCCCATGAGCCATGAAACTCAAAAGCAACTCTGCTGATTGTCCAGAAAAAGAGGCAGAAGTTTTATCTGTCAACTAGCAAGTGTCTTTATGAATTTGGTGCCTTTCTTCATTGAGAAAAGAGGTTACGTTTTCATACCTCCCTGCTAGTAACAAATGCTTCTCTTCCAGGCTACTATCACACGCTGAGAGCTGGAACCCAGCTGCTCTTAAACCTTAGCTGCACCCTGTGGAGCGGAGCTGCATTGGCTGCACTGGCTCAGTGCTGTTATTTTGTCAAATCAATTCTCCTCTTACCTCGGCTTCCTTGTTCTTCTCTTTGTTTCTGCCCATTGAACTTCTCCCATTGCTGGCTGTCTCCAGGGCTGGGATTACGGAAATCTGATGGAGGGGCATATTGGCCCAGCTGCAGGTTGCCAGTCCCTGATTGGATGCCTGATCTCTTCACTCGCCCTGAGTAGCCCACCTGCACAATTGTTCATATCCTTGCTTTGCCAAGCTCAGGTCTAAATAAAAAGGGGAAAAATAGTGTTTCAGATACTGTACAGCAGAAGCCAGGGTCATCTGGCCAAAATGTCAAGCACCTTGAAAGAGGAGTTTAAAGGAAATGCAAGAGCAAATAATCCGGGGAGTAAGTATTGTATTCTCAAAAGGACAATTTACTGCTAGTCATAACTGTACTGCTTTGTCACTGGAGCACCCCCTCTCCCTAAGAGCATTGTGGGAGACAATTCAATTTCTATGGTACCTAATAACTGTCATGGAAACCAAGGAAACCCGGGTCTCACAGGCCCTTATTAGCAGCCGCTTCCTTTAATGGCACAGACTCCCACATTTGCAGCGGCTGACACTTCTGCTTTTGTTTCTCCCACTGAGTCCCCAGGAGTCCCCTAAGCACCCAGAGACACAGCATCCTGCTGAGTAGGTAAATAAGCAGGAGTCTGAAAAGCTTAGTGTCCTATTTGGAGCCAAATCTCTTCCTTGAAAAGCCAGGCTAGCTGACTGTGTCCTTCATGCATCTACACTAATCTGCTTAGGTCAAAGGATCTGCCTTGAAGTGGAGAGCATCAAACAGGGAGGGGTGAGCTGAGTGATTGCAAGTGTCTGTTGGCTGGGTGTAAAGAGAAGGAAGGCTGCCTGCATCTCTCTGACTAAGACATCAGCAACAGGAGTCAGAAGCTATCTGTCACTCGGAAGCACAGATCTCTGCTCTACTCACTGTGGCTTTACTGCAAGTCCCATGTGCCCTGAAATATATTTGTTTGAATCGCTAGCAGCTCTTCTTTGCTTTTCCAGGGGGTGAAATAGACTCCACTAGGTCTTTACTGTTCTCTCAACAGAGTTGAATAATTTAGAGAAAAGAAATGGTGAATCAGAATTTCTGCCCTTTACATTAAAAACAAAATGATCTTACAGTAAAGAGAATTCTTAAAAATGCATTAACTAGAAAAAAAAATCACTTTGCCCTCTGTGATTATTTCCTCTTTGGTGAGTATAACGCATTTTGTCTTTAAAAGCACAGAATTTCTTTTTCTTATTTTGGTATATATGCTTTATATTTTTCTGGGTATTGTGACTAAATCAGATCTGCTGCGGTGTGTGTGTGTGTGTGTGTATGTGTGTGTGAGTGTGTGTGTGTGTGTGTGTGTGTGTGTGTGTTTATTTACCCCAAAAGAAGCAAAACTCAGACGATGGATTGATTTTTTTAAGTATATTCTCAAGCACTGTTTTATGAGTTAGATTTTGTCACTAACCATGAATGATATCTACAGTGTGTCTGTAGTCACAGTTCATCTCTAACTTTCTTTGTGTTCCACACAGTAATGCCATTTCCAAAAAGCTTTTGCAATTTATTCAAATTCAGGATAGAGAAAAATTGTTGAAGAGATAGATACTCTCATTGACAATAAAGTAAAAAGGAGTCAGTGTAAAGACAGCAAAAATTAGCTATTAATCTTTAATTTAAATATTAGCCTTGAAATAAAGACTTCAGTGTGCTTTCAAGTGTTGTCCAATTATGTGCTACTTTTAACTTAAATTAGTCATCTTTGCCTGATTCTCATCCCTGTTATCTACTGGGCTCATCTAGGGAGATTTACTAATGCATAGATGTCTTAGAACATACTAGAAAAGGTTCAGGTTCAGTAGAGCCATGATGAGAACCAGAAGTGGACAGCTTTTAAAGTATCATGCGCAAACTAATTTTGAGAATGACTACAGCCTATCATTAATGTTACCTTAGCACAAAACAAGACAATTAAAGTTTGTATAGCAACAGACATCTTGATTTAGGGTAGAAAAGCAAGCAAGAAAGAAAGAAAGACTATCCAGCAGCCCTTAACATGGCGTTTGATCATCATCTGTCTTACTTTACAAAGTATATTTGTGAAATACAGAAGTTTTAAAGAAGGTACTACTAAATACTCACATTTCCACAAATGTCACGTGCAAAGTAAGATTACAATGCTTAAACACTGATGTACTTAAGGAAACATTTCTTCACTTTAAAAATAATTACTAATCCCTTTATCTAGGACTATTTTCATTTGGAGAAGGTTGGGAATAAAAGTCTATAAATCTAATAGTCATGACTAATACTGAAATTTAAATTACAAATCTCTTTAGAAGAGTAATATCAGTGTTTACACCCATGGAATGTTCCATTAAAAGCCAAAGTGTTTTCCAGATAAAGTTAGACTTCAGTACTTTTGCCTAAAATATTAATTAAAGTTATAGAAAAGGAGATTTTTAGCTTGAATTAACTAAATGATTGTCTTAATCCTGTACTTCATTATGCATATGAGATTATCCTTTGTTTGCAGTGAGATTTTTCAAAAATAAGAATTAAATTTTAAGTTAATTTAATTTATATGGTTGAGCTGTTTCAATTAGTTTTGTCTTATCCTAAAATGTAAACTACAAATTGAATTTGGGGAAAAGAATATTTGTTTCTTAAGGTACTTTACACACTAAATAAGAGGAAGTTTGTTACATTTTTAGAAATAATAAAAATTAATAACTGGGATGTTTAATAAATATTTATGTAATTTTGTATTAGCTGTTACTAATCAAGCTTCTAAGATTTTCCAATCATATCAGTGGGGAAAACATGATTTTAACATCGTGTGTTCAAATTCTTGGCTGCCTTGGAAAAGGGGAAAAGCAAATGTCACTGATTTGCTTTCCTCTAATACCGTTTCTTGAGCAGCTCCTAAAGTGCTTTCTGCCAACTAGAAGCAGAAAGTCTCTGGGGTGCTTCCTTATGTAACATGCAAAGCTAAGGAGACTGCAGGGGAACGCACTTGTCCTGTGCGACCCCGGACATCTTGGGCAGTAAGAAAGCCCTATGGAGTGAAAAGCAGCAATACCTTCAACAACCAGGCACCAACACACAGTGGTCCTGCCACGAGAACATAGTGATTCAGTTCATTTATATTGCATACATACACACAATGCAAGATCTGGCTTCTAAACCTTAGTTCTGTGGAAACCATGGACTGCAATTATTATTATTGCATCTATCCCAAGATATCCACCCACCCTCCACCTAGATTCCATTCCTTATATATGTCTGAATATTTGTTTCTCCTCCACATCCTGACGCTCTGGTTCTGGGAATACCTCTGCCTGTGGCTCCTGAATTTGCCATTTAATGGTTCATAACTCTAAAACTAAGACTTCAGTTTACTCCAACACCTTCTAATTTACTTTCCCTTAGTAGCTTGACATTTAAAAGAAAACAGGAAGATGATAGAAATAAAAAGCGGCAAGATGCAATATGTATTTGTACCAGAACCCCATGATGAATGGACTCATTATGTATCTCAAACATATAAATTAAAAGTCAGCAAAGCCAAGCAAAATATGTATCTGTATCTTCCATCATAAGATCCACCTCAGTCTTGATCAATTTCAAAGGGGAAAAAAGGTTTCTAAGGAGTCATTTTGTAATTAAGCAAGAAAGGAACTACAGTTTTAGGCAAAGACAAGAAAATTAGTAAACAGTTTTTAATGCATTCAATGGGCAAACTGATCATTTAATTCAATCAATGCTTATTAGGCATCTTCAGTATTTTCTGAACTATGCCGGGGTGAAGGGACAGGAGGAGGTAAACATGAAATTATGCAGTACAGTCTCCATAATGAAGGCATTTTCTGTGTCTGACAGATAAGACTTACATAGGTAAGTCAGTTTGAAAATAGTATAGCATATAACAATTAATCTTCGAGAGACAATGCAGAATACTAAATGTAAATGCCAAAGAAATCACCATAGGCCCACATAATCAAAGACAAAGTATTAAGGAAGAACTTGGGTCTGGGTTGGGCTTGACAGAGACAAGATGACTGAGAAATTTCGGGTATAGAGATTAGCACAAGGCTGGCAAGTGAGACTCAGGGACACTATTTTAACTAACAGAAAATGTATTTAAGATTATCAGTGGTTTAGGGAATATATGGTTACTAGGATGGGACACTGGTTGACACGTGGGAGGAGAAATGGAAGAAAGTTGGCCCAGGATAGTTAAAAAATACATAAAATTGTCAAAATTACAACTACACAGTTACAAAGATACAGAATAATATAGTTAAGAATTTTAAGTAATCTGAAAATAGAAACAAAACACTGAAATGAGGAAAGAATATTTCATAACAAATCCCTGGTGAAAAAGATCAAAGCTGGATTGAGGGGGTTTTTAGTGCCACTGAACAGGGTTTGATGGCTGCTGTCAGAGGTTACAGGAAGAATACATGGGAAGCTATCACTGCATGAAGACTCTATGGCATGTGATAAAAGAAAAGAAAAAAGCCCCTGGAACCCAAAGCTAGTTTCACCTGGGCAAACGGTGAAGAACGTATTTGTATAGAAGTCAGGGAAAAACTCAAACCAGCCTAACAAATTCATTGGGAATGATAAGAGGAAAAGGTGATTAAAATTTCTGGCCTAATAGAAGACACAGCGGGGAAAGGAAGGGGGAAAATAAACATTAGGATGTCATCTGTACATGTGGCAACTTCCCACAATGATTATAATTACCATGTACTACAAACACATACTAATAAAACAAATTAAAAAGCAATCTGCAAAGTTACATGGCATTCAATGCTACATTCCTTAGATTGTGTATGATTTTTGGAATCCGATTGTACTTATATTTTGTGTGTTCAAGTACTTTCTCTAATTAGAACAACACCCCTTGAACAACCCTGAAGGCAACGTGGTGAAGCAGGCAAACTCTCAGGAATAGAAGCGAGGGCTTCTATTCTCCACAAATCGCTGGCCCTAATTTTGGCCACATTTATTTTCAGAGGTTTGGAGCAGATTACAACATGGCCAGCAGTTCATTTTAGTCTTCTGAGGAATCAAGACAACTCTTCACAGTCATGTAATTATAGAACGCATTAAAATAGTTGTAGTGTTTGTATTCTTTATACTATGTTCCTAAAAATGAATACCACCACTAGAAGCAGAATCCACCTAATAACCTCGCAGGACTAATCTTTC